TATCGCAAGAGAAAATAATAATAATAAGTGAGAAGTAAAAACTGTGATAAGCTATTTATTTGTTTTACTTTTTTTTTCATTTATATCAATTATATTCTGCATCTATCGTGCCAAAAAAATGTATGTAAAAAATGATTTGGAAATAACTGTGCTCAAATCAAATGTGTTTTTTACGGAGTTTTAATTTAATTTTCAAAGGTAAATGCATATCAAAGGCATTCCAAATAAATTCCAGTATCGAAAAGCAACCTGTCAGAATTTTTGATGTTGCGAGTCACTACAGGAAAATAGAATGTGAATTATTAGAGTTTATTCAAGTTTGAGTAATCAAGAGCATCATTTTTGGCCCCAAAAATCATTTAAGATCGAAGATCAGTTTCGTAGAAAAGTCTTAACTTGCAAGCTTCTTGCTCCCTTTCACCTCAAAGAACTGAAGGAAAAAATCAATTCAACTATTGAGGTGAAGCAGAAATTTGTACCACTTGCGAAACAAATTGATGTAACCATAATCACTGATATATGAAACGACAAATCAAAAATTTAAAAACAACTTAATCATATTTTACAAATGCTGAAAAAATTCAAAAGATTTGAACACAATTGAAACCAATTTTACAAATTTTACGACGAGTATTTCCGGAGTAATAGAAAAAAGCAGAATTTCCAAAAAACTCGTTCTGTGGAAGTTAAGCCGACAAAAAAGCAGGACAATGGTCTAAAGTTTTAAGGCGAAAAACTTTGGACAAGGGAAAATAATAATAACAGAAGAAAAAAACTGAATTACTGGAGTTTTAACTTCACCAAAAAAATTCCGTCAAAAATGGACTGTTAAAAAGTCAAAATTTTTCTGAAAAAAAACCCCACCCCGAGCACAAATGTTCCCTTAAATTGAAAATTTTGTTGAAATCATCCTCCCATACTCCATATTAAGAGCAAAGTGATAGATTTCGCTCCAATTAAAAAATCAATTTGGAACAATTTTTAAGACGGATAAAATCTCCGCTTACGCGTTAATAGCGCGAAATATATCGCGCGTTAATTGTTCCAAATTAACCAAATGGCAATCTTTAACCCCCCCCCCCTTCCCCCCATAACTTTGCAAAAAATGAGCACAGGTGAAATATCTTTTCAAATTTAAATTCAGTACAACTATACCTTTCGAATGATGAATAAAAATTCCGTCAAAAAAGGCTACTTAAAAAGTCGAAATTTATCTGAAGCAAAAAACCCACCACGAGCTCAAAAATTCCGTTACTTTCATCGTTTCGAAAGGCGGAACAATAAGGAAGAATAAATGTGTTCCCAATAGTTAATTTCTTCGCCATGCAAAATTTCATCATATTATGACAACGTTAAAATAAGTTTGGGACGTGGGAGTGGAAAGAGCTTAATTGTAAATCGATTTTGAATATTTTTCGAAAATGTATGGGGCGTGGGATTGGAAAGAGCTTAATTGTGAATCGATTTTGAATATATTTTTTTCCGACTATCCTAACAAAAATAACGGAATATTTAAGCTCGGGGTGGGTTTTTTTCTTTGGACAAATTTAGACTTATTAACTAGCCATTTTTGACGAATTTTTTTAACATTCAAAAGGTTTTGTTGTTTTCAGCTTAAATTTGAAAAGATATTTCACCTGTGATCATTTTTCGTAAAGTTATGGGGGGGGGGTTTAAAGATAGCAGTTTTGGTCAATATGGGACAATCAACTCGCTATTTATTTCGCGCTATCAGAAATCGTTCCAAATTGGTTGAAGGAAGCTTAGTTTCTATAACAGATTTATTACTAGGAGCGAAATCTATCATTTTGTACTTTCAAACTTTAACTGCCGTGTGGGTGGATGTTTTTCACAAAAAAATCTTAAATTTGAAAAGAAATTTTTTTGTTCTAGTTTATTGCATTTAATGTTATTACTGCTCCATATATCTTAAAAGGCAGTCGGAACTTCAGGGCTTCGTCCTGATACGAGCAGTCTTGCTTCATTAATGATTTTTTTCCTACCGTAATCAGTGCATCCGGAACATGCGCAATTTGCGCAACAACTAGCTATCCTTGTTTACGCTTACAATAGTATAATAGTAAAATAGGACACTTCAGTTTGGCCCTTCAGCGGAAGTGCAGAATTTAACTACAGGCAAAATTGCATAGTTTTAAAGCAACGAACGCTCAATAAAATGTTGCCTTATTTAAAGAATAGATGTCACATTATCACAAATCGGATACTGTTTTTCTTACTTATTCCGTTCAAATTGTTAATTAGGTTCAAAATATGACCTAATGGTGGGTCATTTTTTTCTTCAAACTACAGTTTCTACCTATTTTTAAAAAAACATGTCTTCTTATAATGTAATCATCTTTTTTTCAGTTCAATAAACTCAGTTCAGTTTTAGTATTAAATCTTTTCATGATGTGTACAAGGTAAAAAAAAAGTCAGATTTCGCAGACCGGAAAAACAGCAAGTCATGAAGGTATTTTTCAAGGGCACCATGCATGATATTGTAGTTTACAGAGCTGAGCAATTCGTACGTTGGCGGTATCCCTAGTGAATAAATGTATCCTAATTGCTTGAACAGACCAGGCCCTTAACCAATAATTCACTTATACACTGAAAACTCATAGGAACAAAAATGTACTCAAACCTATTGAATAAAAATATGTATCGTTCTAGCGGCTCTTTTTCCTTTTCCTCCACCTCAACTAGGCATCAAGTTTATCTAATGAGAAGTTTTATAAGGTTAAGTATGCAGACCAGATATGTTTGTCGTGGCCTAATTAGACAGCATGCCAGTTTTTGTAGCATTCGGACAAGGCGAACAAAAAATTACTTGTAAAAAATTCGCGATTGGGGAGGGGGGAGGAAAAAGAGATAGTTCGAGTATATGCGCGTTTATTATTTATTTTAAATGAATGAATGGCATTGAAACTAAACACAGGCAAAAGTAAGCTAATGTACAAATTATGTATAGATTGCAATATTCAACATCATCATTTCCGCCCTTCAAACTTCAGTGATTTCAAAATCATCTTTTTAAAAATATGCTTTATTAAACTAAAAAACAAAAAAATAGAGGCACGAGCTTTAAAAAATTCAAGTAAATTTTACCAATAAACTAAAGAACCTGCGCGAACGGATCGTTTTCTAAATACTTCGTTTAAAGATTGAATGAATGATGAAGGGCTTCATGTTTAACGAAATTGACTGCGATAATGTCTGACTCATTGAGTTTATTCAGCATGTAGGGTGGGGGGTGTATTAAATACATAACAATTAAATTGAAAAGCACCAGTTTAAAATATTGATGGAAAACTAAACTAATCTAAATTACTAGTAGTATTTCAATATAACAAGAAGGCAAAGGCAACTAATCACACGCAATAGCTCGAAAAGACCCGAAACACCCAAAAATCATTCAAGCTGTAAACAGAAAAAAAAGCTTCAGATTCAAAATCTCATGAGTTAAAAGAATTTCGGATCATTTCGTCGTATTAGCCAGCACAACATAACATTGTGGTATATAATAAGCATGATCGGTATATGGTAATACGCCACACACCAATGAACTCTGAATGCTACTCAAGGAGCAATCAAACGAAACAAAAATAAAGAGCAACCATTACATTTACTTCAGATTTGTTCAAAAACGAGAAAAACGGGTCGGATAATAGAGCAGCCGCTGCAATTATTAACTATGTTAATTGCGATCATTTATTTTTATTGGGCATTCCAGGGTTTGGAGAAATTCAAATTCTTCTACGAATCTTAGATTTTGTACCAAAAAAAGAAGTCGGAAAAGGTTGGAAAAAGTGAACTCAAATTATTACACAATCGTTTGATTCTGTCGCGAGATGTATGTAATCTCTTATAAGAATTCATACAAAAACCTTTCCACGATTTTTAATTTCACTTAAATCATGTAGGTGTAACCTAAAATCAACTAAGGTTTAATGAATCATGTTTTTCATAATCATGAAGCCGCAAAATAAACGATTTATAGAGAAAGATTACCGGAGTGTAACTATCTTCCGTTGACTTAATCAAAAACTTAATTAGTTTTTTGAATTGCTGACTACATTTCTACAAAACTTGATCTTAACTCGAAAAATTACTTAGAATTATGTCTACCGACCTCTAAACAATTTTAAGGCCCTCTCGTTTGCAGTTAAGTCTTAACCTACGATGGGGGGTCAATTCTCGTGCGCTAAAGACCGAAGGTGCGAAAATTTTCAACCAATCAAGGCCCGTTTACCTGTTCTAAACCGACTGACTTTATTGCTCATTTCCTTTGGATTAATTAAATATGAATACTGATTGGTTGACAACACTTCAGCGCATTCTGTCCTTTGCGCTTTAGGGACTCCCCCTTCGACTGAGAAAGCAGCAGCTAAGTTCTCGAAACATTAATCAAGTATTGTAGTGCTTTAGGCTCCCTATTTTCACACACAATGAAACAACCAAACTGCATGACTACATCAGAGAAAATCAATTTATCGAAATGAGAAAGAATTCTGGAAGGGCATACATGATTATAAGTCAAATTATTCTCTGTCAACTGCATGACTTTTTTTTTTGCTGTTTCTGGTTCACTATGCGTTATTCCGCGCATGTTCAAGTAAAAATTTGAAGCTCCTTATTTTAGCCTTACCAATGAATATTAAGTCTAGCTAGTCACGTGGTATTTTATGTGCACTGCAAATTCCAACCAATAAACTGTATGCCCGACAAGAGGTTGAAATAGTAGTTTGTTACCTACTAGTTTAGACTGCTATAGGAATTGAAACTGTCATAGTTGAATCATTGCGACGGTTGTGAAATCAGATAGCCTCTTGTTACAGAAAGTAGCATTAGCTTCGACCGAAATCAGTTATAAAATTATAATTGACAAATTTAAAAACAATTAATTCAAACATTTGACGCAACTTTGTTAAGCTTTGCAATTTTTCAAACAAGTTTTCATCTTTTGAAACGGTTAAAACAGTTTTAAAAGATCGAAAATTACTCCGTGTAAGATTAATAACTTTCTTTATGAAAAATTAAACTTCGATAACTTTTGCGATGCAAACTTAATGCTACTATAATTTGAATTACGTTGAAATTTCATAACTTCTAATAATAATCAGTTTCGTTCTGTTTTTATATTCAAAATGAGCACACAGTGCAGTAAGTGGTATCTAATTTTGTAGTATCTGTCACTCTCACTCTCACTCGCTCTGGACTGTGAGTGTTGGACTTAACTGGATGTGGGTTGGTGGAGTGCACTGGACTGTACTGGGCAGCTGCTATAACTCCATGTCCTGGGTCTCGTCCTCTGAGGAGAAGTCTGAGATGCTGCTCTCTTCGTCTGAATTGTCACTGCCTTGCTCCAACTCACGAAGAGCCACTTCTGTCGCGTAGCGCTGCACGTAGTCTACACGAAACATCCAATAACTAACATTACACAACATACGCAGACGCACAACACCAACATTTAACTGTTTCTGTTTCTTAAACCAATAGACTGAGTGCTATTTCGCATACAAAAGCGAAAAATACAAAACCAAGAAAACAGAGGATTCATCAGGCACTTAGCCACACACATCAACACGCGAACCTTTATACCCTAACAGGAAAAATCTACCGAATAGAAAGTACCTCAGTAACTTGATCCGAAAAAAGAGCCTTCAAATCAAACCATAATATAGTAGAAAAATTACTGAACTAAGCTAACTTCAGGCAAATTCGGCGCTGTGTCAATCAAGCTGACAAAAAAACAAGCAGGCAACTAGAAGCACAATAAAGATTTTTTGATACGCGAAAAAAATTTCCAATTACAAAAAAGCTCCCGACTGATTCAAACCATTGACATTTGTCTTTGTAGGCAGGTGCTTTACCTCTTCGCTACATGCCCGAATTAACGCCTTGCTTTTGATTTCATAAGGACCAAGGTGTAAAATGATTCGAGTAATTCTGTTAGATTAGTTTCTAACCAAAAGAAACCGATTTGATAACACTTGCTAATAGCAAGCGTAGATAAGCCTAGATTTTTTATGCAATTCGCTGGAATCAAACCACCACCCTGAAGACTAAGAGCTTCACGTCTTCGCATCTCCGCCGTGGTCGGTCGCTGTAGAGTTGGTGAATTTACACATTACAAAGATTTTCATTATAGTAAAAAATGTTGGACCTACTTAACAATAGCCCTCCCTTTGGTATCTACTAAAAATTTCCAGCCCTATAAATAAAGCATTGTGTATCACTAGAGCGTTGTATTTAAAAACTCAAACTTTGCTGCAATCTGATTGTTTGAAAATTCCATAACTTCATCTACTTAACAATTGCACCCCTCCTTTCTTGAAATGGGGGTGGACGGCAATTGTTAAGTAATCCAAATTGTTTAAACCAGAAAGAAATTCCATGCTTTGGAAATAAGCCGACAAAAATAAGCAAACAAACTATAGTACGACAAATGAAGAAATCAAAAAAAATCATGCATCACAAAAAGCAAGCTCCGACCGGGATTCAAAATTAGGAGAAGACCTGTGGTATGCAAAGACGTGCGTTTCAGCCTAGCGCAAGGATTAACACAGAGGCAAAGTTGCTCTTCGCATACACAGGCAAAAATATGACCGATAACGCTGCTGCGAAAAACTGAATAAAACTTTGAGTCTACAAAATTTCTTAAGTGACACACGCTAATTATGACGCATTAGCAGTACCAATCAATTTGAAAAAAAATACATTTACCATCTAACATGCCTCAATTTATAGAGCAGTTTATGGAGCAGTAATAACACGAAAAAATTAAATGTAATAAAAATGAAATGAATTTTTTTAATTTGTGATTTTTTGTGCGAATCATCCACACACACGCCATATTAAGTACAAAGTGATAAATTTCTCTTCTAGTAACAAATCAATTATGGCAATTAAGCTTCTTTCAGCCAATTTGGAACAATTTCTATGACGGATTAAATCGCGCGTAAATATATCACGCGTTAATTGTCACAAATTGGCCAAAATGGCAATCTTCAAACCCGCATAACTTTACGAAAAATGATCACAGGTAAAATATCTATTCAAATTTAAGCTTAGGACAACAATAACTTTCGAATGATTAAAAAAAAAAAATTCCGTCAAAAACGGCTAGTTAAAAAGTCGAATTTTGTCCGCACAAATATTCCGTTACTTTCGTTACGAAACTATAATAGTCTGTGTTAAAATCCTTAGCATTGGCGGTACTTAATGGCTGGTTATTGAGTAAAATGAACACTTTCAAAATGAACACATTTTATCGTAACAATATTTGCGACTTAGGTTGGAAAAAAAGATAGTTCATACTATAACACAAGCATTGCTGGTGTAAAAACACGCGTTTTACCACGGGATCAAAAGAAAACGCGTCGAATATTGTTAAGGTTTCGAAATAAAACAAGTTCAAGTTCTTACAGATTTGCCAAAAGCTCAGGGAAAAATCTGGTTCCCGATTACATATCACTTGATCTGGATCTTGCAATAGAAAAATAGTCAATTGCGATGTCAATACTCTGGTTAGGATGAAAGAACGAAGCAGCAGTTGAATAGTTAACTAGCCTCTGACTTTGGCCCTGAAGTCCTCTGGTTTGTGGAGGTAAAGTGCGGCTGCGTCCCCATTGAGGGGGTCCTGTGCATTGGGGTATGTGAGCAGGTGGGGGAGGAACACCTCGAAGATGTTACTTAAGTCATACATGGAAGTCCACGTCTGGTTGATCACGTCCAGACATACAGTGCCAGATCTAAGTGACATCATAACCCAAAAATCAACACCTTTCTTTTTTTACAAATAAGCAGAATTTGCGATCAAAAAAAAAAATCAGCAGACTAACACCACCACACAAACATCAACATTTGTTATACACATATGCAGAATTTGGGATATGAACAAAAAATAGAAGAATCAAGAAAGAAATCATCAACTTATGGCTACGTTAATCTTTTTGGTATTACTACTTGTAATTCGAGAGAAACGAATGCATCAAACCACAAGGTAATAGGCATGAAAACGCCAAACAATGACCTTCGAAAACATTTGAAACGAATGTTTTAAAGCTAGATAGGTTTACAACTTACGCCTCGTCAATGTTGGGATGATATATTTTGTTCATGAAACCTAAACAAACATACATGTGAACAATCCCACGTAACTACAGGATAATAATGATTGCAGTTTACCAATTGTGACTCACCAATAGAGGGAGATTTGAAAGGGTAAGTGTCTGGGAGACTCACTCGCAGTTTCCACACTCCCCCGTAATAAGGCGCTACAACAAAATACCATCATGATCAGCGATACAAAACATCAAAAAACAGAAAAGCGTGTCACTAGAACGCTAATCTTCATAAATTATTGAAGAACGGTCCAGCTTTACAGTCTTGCGTTAGAATATGCAAACCATTGTAACTGTCATTCTATTTCAAATGGTTTTAAATTCCACCATTCAAACTTTCTGATATTTGCTTCTTTGCTTACTGTCTTGAGGTCCGAAGAATTTGACGGAGAATAGATTCATTTCGTCGCCGAGTATTGTCACCTCGTGCTTGCTTTCGATTCTAAACATTGATATTACATTATTAATTAATCGGCTCACACTGATTCTTAAATGACACTAAAAATGTATGATGTAGCTTTGAGCGCGCACAGCTATATGGAAACCGTTAAGCCATGTCGCTTGTTATTGTGCAATAAATTAAAACAGTTAAAATTAACGAAACGTTGAATCTAGTTTAAATTAATTTTCTTTAATTAGTTATTCGTAGGTAAAATATATTAAACAGGCTAAATGTGCATTTCCTTGAGATTTACTTTCTATCGTAGTCAAATAGATATAATTTTCGAAATCGTAAACTATTCTATCGGGTTTGGAACCGGCCTGAAACAATGAAAGACTTGACTACCCGAAGATAACTTCAGAGCATTATAGAGTTTAAAAAATAATTTGGGTTCGAGCCAAATTTCGCCCAAATATTATAACTGACTGCACAAATATCTGAGACCAAAATCTACAAATACAATCACATACAACGTTGAAAGCAATTAATGCATTCCAATGAAAACGAGTTGGCACTTAACCTTGTGAAAAAAAACTACCTAAAAACGCTTCTGAAGGAAACACCAATTGACATGGAAAACGAAACAACTATAATTCTGATACAATTCCGTTATCTTTTTGAAAGATTGTCGAATACTGGAAAACATTTGCCCATAAAGCAATTACAACCAAATCCAAGTAGGTAATCAGAACACTCATGATTTTGCAAGTCAAGTCCGTAACTATAGAGCTCATCAACATTGATACGAAATTTTCGGATTAATCTATATATTTACCTAATAACCTTGTTTACATCTTTTTGATTGCCTCTACTACCTATTTCAATTCGATCAAACAAGAAATAGTTTACACAAGGTCTATGGTTCAAATCCGGCAGTCTTCAAAGTCGTTGCAATTTCCAATAGATTTTAAATGATCTTTCATTGATTAAGTTATTCGTAGCTTGAGATTGCGATGCAAAGTTCATGTTCTTTTTCCGTTTAGAGAAAATTTGTGATAGCTATTTTGATTATTTTAAGAGTAGCTAAGTAATAACCGACCACTAAAGTTGCCAGTTTTCCTGCAGACACTGCTATAATTTTAATTGAGATATTGATGGCTTCATTATTTTCAAGAAAATGCACACAGATGAAAAACTATCCGATTGTTTCTACTAAAAGTGATTTCCAATTTTCCGTATGAATATGGTAAGTAGGGCGTGAGCAAAAACAATGCAGATACCGAGCAATTTTCCTAGCCATCGAATTGAAAAAAAAAACATCAGAGGCCTCTGATAATTAAACCAAAGCAAAAAATATCTTATAAGCTACAAAGAAAATTTTCTCTGCAATTAAAACTATAGATAAAATGAACAAAACAGCCTGATAAAATTGGGAAACAAATCATGAAAAGCATGAAAAATATTTCAAAAAATATGTTAAAATGATGACAATGTTATGGTGATATGTTACAATAGGTGGTAATTTTGAGTATAGTGCATTTATTAAATTTGAAAACCATAACACATAATATAGTCATTTCATTTGCAATTAATTGATATATTACAAATATAGTTTTTGTAAATACATTTAAAACCAGATGAAGTGCTATTCAAAAATTCAAATTTTACACTTCTTTAGCCCAAAATTTGGCTTTTGAAACAAATTATAAATGATGTGCGAATTATAAAAAAAGCCGATCCAGCTTTTCAAATTGATCCTACCACCTATTGTAATATACCACCCAATTGAGAATTTCTGTCAATAATAATCGAAAAATATTTCCACTATTATGCCAAACTTGCATCTCATCTGTCAAGTACCACACCATGATTAACCAACAAGACTGACTGTTAGAAGAAACCAATAGTATATATTAGCAAATGATAAAAACTCAAAAAGAAGCTGCATTTCGCGTACACAAGCGATAAAAAGGACAGAAAAAAAGAAGTCTTAAAAACAAAAACTTGATAGACTCCTGATTCGAGTCAAGGACAAAGATTGAGAGGCGTACGTCCCAACTGGGACATGTGCTCTTGTAGATGGTCAAACACTAGATGAACTATCTTAGATCTCTTTGAATCATCTTAGACACAGATGTGAACCAAAACTTTGGTATGTCTCGATGAATGGCGCCAAGGGCTTAGCTAAAGCTCGAGACACTTAGTTGATATTTATCAAATTTGTTACTGATACGGGACGAAAAGCGTAATTTCAAAAACCGGTCAAAAAACCAAGGGTCCTATTTTTTTGTGTAAATTGTGAGTCGCCGCTAATGCAGGGGAGCTTACCAGTATGCACTATCTCCATTGACCCACAACCTCAGGTTTGGGAGGTTAGTGTTCGACAAAAGTTGAAAAAGATTTTAAAAACGGTCTAGAAAAATTTACTATTTCGAGGTCCATATTTTATGAGTAAAAAAAATTGGGCGTAGCCGCTTATGGCGGAGAGCTTTTCAAATCCGTTCTATTTATTGAAACAAAAATCTCAGATGTCGTAGCTTATTTTTTGAGAAAACGAAAAAAAATCAAAAATATCGGTCAAACATTCCCCCTCACAGACTTTTTCGAAGGCTGCAGACAAAGGGTAAAGCAAAAAGAGACCAGAGGATTATGTGTGCACACAAAAACTTGAGCGGTCTTTCTATGGATACTCCTTTTTAGAAATCCGTAGAAGTGTTTTCGAAGAATAATTAAATGTTTTGCAAAAAGTGATAAAAATTTTCCAAAGCGTCTCAAAAAAAGAGGTCCCCTTGACATGCTCTATCGATTGAATATTTACTTTTAATTTTTGTAGGGTAATTTCTTAAATGAAATGAAAAAAAAGGATGAAAATAGATCCAGTGATAGCGAAAGAGAGTAGCGCAATTATGCAGCCACACAGTGACGCAGCAAGTCTTTCCATTCAAACATCTTTTTTCAAAAATCGGTGATAAAATTTTCGAGAAAAACTAAAGAATCTGGGGACAAAAAGCACTATCCAAAGCGTCTCAAAAGAAAACAAATCCCATACATTTTCAAAAGACACGTTATTAACAAACAAGAACTTGAAAACATTGAAAAAATATTTAAAAAAGGCTATTGAAAACATACTATACAGCAATAGCATAAGTGAAAAATTTTAATGAGCACTCTTATTTTTTAACTAAGTTGGAAAAAAGTGGACATCGTAGTATATCAGTACGCTTCGCTTGTATAACTACCGAATACAAAAAAAACAAGAATTACTGGTTGCTGTGCAAATAGCACTGATGTTTCCAACCACAAAAACTTGAGTAGATTTTAGCGCTTCGTTTAAGCAGATAAAATCAAGTCCCCTAGATTTTACAAATGAAAATTAATTGACTAGTTGTTATCTTTGCATTACTCATATTCGAAATGAATACTTTCATTTTTTGAAGTTTTTGCGACTCTTAGTGTCAAAGAAGCCTTAAGCTAAGCTCAAAAACAAGTTTTTAGCTTCTAGCAACAATATTTATTGTTTTAAAAACATATACAAAACAAACAACAAATGTGGGATGAATCATTGAGGATTGAAAAGAGAGGGGGAATGCGCTAACAGCAAAGGAACAAAGGAGCACCAGAATTGGGAATGCAAAAAACGTAATAAACTGCACAAGACTAGATGGCCCGGCTGACAATCATAGTGGCGTTTCCTCTCATGAGGCACACTGAGAGGCTCTGGAGAAGGCGAACTGGGGCAACACGAGCGTCACGTGAACCAGAACGTCTGGCGTCAGCGAGGATAGCAACTGACTTGAAGGTTTTGATAGCTAAAGCGGACCAACCCCCGAGCGTTTCGACTGCTAACGGGAAAAAACTGATTCCTTGTTCCTCACAGTTTTTCTCGTGTTTCGAAAATTTGCGGTCCTCAGCAACTTCCAGGGACGCCCCGGGGGTCTCCGCCGCACGAGAGAGAAGAGATAACTGCAGCGGGGATGTCACGGTGACGTCGAAAGCAGCTGGGCGACCAGCGCTCCAAGTAGGGATAAAAATATCGCCGGGTTTGGACCGTTCTCCAGGGATGAGGTTCCGTTGCTCCTTGATGGGGGCTAAAGAGGCAGCCGAGGTAGCATTGAAAATAATGTCCCGTAGTCTGTCGTGACGGGAGATCCGGCCACCACTCCCCCCACAAGCGACAGCGTGGTCCCCGAGGACGTCCAGAATGCCAGACGGACACGCGGGGCACCTACGAGCAGACGCGAACACAGGAAGACCAAGGCGGTATCTGACAGCAGCTTGGAACTCAGCAGGTAGCAGGTGCAGGCCAAGACCTTTAATGGGGACTGCGGTAAGCCAAGCGCCGGCGTAAGGCAGAGAGCGACTGAAGACGAGCTTGCTCGCGGGAATCGGGAAGAGACGAGAAGAACGCGTTGTAGGTGGCCTTATCGAGTTTCTCTTGGAAAGCTTCTTGAGTAAAACCGGGAGTGTTAACGCTTCCAGACTGTTCACGGAAGTCGTTCGAGGCACGCAGGAACTCCGGCGTATCAGTGATGTCGCATTCGGTAAGAAACGAGACCAAATGAGCTGACTGACACGAAGACCCTAGGAAGGCAGGGATGTGTTGGTCGCGAGCTTGCCGGACGCCAAGTCCGCCATCTTTGATAGGCAGGGAAGACTGGGACCAGGCAAGATCAGGAACAGGTGAGCCAACTATGACAGAAAGAGCATCGCGGAGGAGTTCATCAAAAACTTGCAGGGAAGCTGCGACAGGCTGAGAGGGCGGCTGAGTGCGAAGAGAGTACGTCAGCTTGGGAGCAGCAAGGCAAGTGCGAGTGATGCCAAGTGAGAGCTGGGGGTCATCAAGAAGAGGTAACTTTTCAAGACATTTGGTGGCCTTCGAGATGCGTTTGTCCAGGACTTTAACTGAGAACTCAGTATCACCAATGGGGGCGCCAAGAAGCTCGAAGCCGTTAGACGCTGCTCTCGGGATAGAGACGGGGATGGAGGAGAACTCCACAGGGGCCCACAACTCACACTTACTGTGCTTGACTTTGAGGCCGAGATGCAAGCCGTTGGAAGTG